CTCTGATTATTTAGTATTATTAACATATAAAGACATCTTTGTAAATCTACGTGTATATTCTGTGAATTTAACCTGCCTAGACTAGCTTTAGCTATATGCAGGTTATATAGTTTTTCTTTTTTGTATTCTTTTATTCATCAATAAAGTTTACCAAGCTAGTCAGGAATGCTTTGTTATCGTCAACCAAGATGGCGGCAATGACGTAACATGCACCTTCTCTATTGCTACGCTTGGGTGTAATGTTTTCCCTTTTCAGACCACGTATCAGTCATTCTCTCGAGAATAAGATTCTTTGCGTGAGTTGTAACTATATTCATGTGTCTTCTCGTGCACGACTGTGAACGTCACATGTTCTGAAATGGGAAGACAAGGTATTTGCATGTTTTTATTTCTTATAATAGCAATTATTTTGACAATACAAAATGGACGATGTAAAAAAAATACTTGTGTAAAATATCGAACACCTTTGATATCTAAGGCGCAGTTCACAGACACCGAATTTTTCATGTACTTAATCTGAACATAATAACTCATCCTAATCTTGCTCTATTTACAAATTAAACGTTTATTAGTAATATTAAACACGCATGCGTGATATCGTACTGTAATATTAACATGTTGAGAGCTGTAAAACACGAGAGAAGCAAGCTTTTACAGGTCCCATATTGTTTATATCGCAGTACAGAGACATCAGTAATCTTTTTATATTGCTTTTATGAAATATTATGCTATGAAAGCAGTGCCAGCCAACTGACAAAGTAAAAAAGAAAAAAAGCAAAAGAAAACAATTAGTTATTATTCGAAAACTATGTATTATGCTTGCTATTTATTTTCTGCTTTTTATCACTTCATTGTTTTATTAATAATCTAAAATAAACACAGTAAAATGCTATCAGACTTGGCTATTTTCGATCAATAGTGGTATAAGTTCAAAGGATAAAGAGGATACTACTGGCTAGTCTGATTATGGACTCATTTACGCATGGTAAGACTCATATCAGCATAAAAATGTTCACAAATACCAAGGGAAAATGAAAGAATGCACAACTTCGACAATACAAATATTCTTACAAAATATTTACAAAATACTGCTTCGTCTCAGACTGAGCGACACCCTGAGCAATAAAAAACTGAAAACTGAAATATTTACAAATTATAATATTGCTTGATCTCAGAATAGAACGTTTTCCAACAACCGGGGTTAAAAATTCTAATGAGTTTGCTAATATGCTAATGATCTACGTACCGTACTG